CAGATTACAGATGGAAACACCACCTTCAGACGTGTGTGGACTAAGTAGCGGCTCTATCCAGAATGAACACCTTCACATTTTTATATTCTTAATATATGTTTCTATGATTTTTTGTAGTGATACTCTTTTATTTTCCTCTATGCAATAGTTTTCAGCTTCTTTGCGATATGCATCAAAACATTATTACTGTATTATTATGTTAAAGACATTTTGGTGCATTTGGAAGTGCGTTTTTACTATTTTAGGCTTAGAAATATTTATTGTGTACTAAGACAAATACGGGACTAACTGATGTTAGATAGAAGCCATACCTAACTATTCAAAACTGTTCAAATTTACTTGCAAATTGTTTAAAGACAGGTTTAGTCACAGAATTCATTTGTAATTCAAGGGCTGCCTATGCAGCCTTCGCAAACCTATGGGGCAGTTCTGCTCTGTCCTTTGGGTCACCATCACTCAGAATTGACTCAGTGGTTCATGCAGTAGTTCATGCAGATCTACCCACAATTGTGCCTTGGGAAAATCCACCTTGATCTCAGAATAACTTATGATTTGGTGCGTGTGCCTTAGTGAGCCCCCTTTTTGCCTTGCTTTGTTTTGTTTCTACAGCTCTTAGGGACAGTATCATGTGATACGTTAGTGAACCACCTGTCAGCTTAGCGATTGGCATCAGATCTTCAGGAGCACTTGAATGTTGCAAACAGTTAACATGCTCAGCTGCGAATGGAAATGTTGGCCGTGCTAATCTGCCCAGAGGCACCTCAAAAGAAAGGCCTGGAAATCTACTTTCAAAAGCTCAGCTACCGGAAACCCTATGGAGCACAGTTCTAATCCGACACACTAGGGTTACCTTGAGTTAAAATCGACTCTGTGGCAAAGGACTGGTTTATTTTTGTTATGTTTGTCAGATCTCCTGTTTTTGAGCCCCGATGACACTGTTGGGTAAGCATTGGACTGCCTGCTCAGCAGGGCAAATGCACTAGACACTCTGTGAGAGAGATGAAGTTATCTGCTCCCATATGATTTATAGCCTCAGAAGCCCTATGCAGGGTCGCTGTAACTCAGAATTGACTCAGTGGCAGTGGGTCATGGTTATGATGGCTTTTAAGACCAGCCCCTTGCTTCCTGCTCACACTGCCCTCCTCTTTCTGCCTCTATAGAAGCAGCCTGCAAGCAATCCTTGCCTGTTCTAAAGATATCTGACTCTTATGATTATACCTGATGCCTTCACACCATTCTGCTCAACATAAACTGTAGCAGAGATCAACAGGGCACAAATATTTTTACTTCCTTAACGCTGCAGAAGAACAATTTGCAGTCACAGCCAGTTGTTAATGTGCCAGTCACAGATGGGTATCCCTGGGAAAGCAGAAGAAGTAAATGTAAACTTCCTTTACATTTGTAAAATCTAGCCAGAGTAGGAATCTGCTTGGTCTTCTGTGTAGCTTTTCCAATCACAAGAGTCCTTGACTGGCAGGCACCCTGCATTGACACTAGTGGCTGACATATCAAAATACTTTTCTGTACTCTTGATTGCCCTGATTTCATTTTTCAAAACCACAAACACATGATTTAAAATAAACAGGCTAAGAAACTCAGTAATCTTCAAAGCTGGATGATGTCAGGTCCGGAGCTTCCCACAGATACTGGAGCACAGCAAGGAGTGCGTGAGTGTGCTTGCATCTGGAAGACAGTACAAATCTGAGAATCAGATGCTAGAGACTGAAAGCCTACAGCACACTGCTCTCTGACTTGCTTCCTTCGACTCCCTTTATTGACTGTGTCGGGAGGGCCTGGTCGTTTGTGCCTGGCAGCTTGGATGCGTGAGTACGAGCTACTCAGATCCAAGGGTCCTCTGCATCTCCAGTCTTCAGAAACTCTCAGGGTAGAGCATTTGGAGAATTCCAGTTGCTTGCTTTCTCTGAAAGGACGTGCATAATCCAAGGCGTTTGTGTACTTTTGAGGTCTGAGAGATCACTGTTAGGACTGAGGCTTCTGTTCTCATTAATTTATCACCTTTATAACTTTACTTTCTTCTTTTGGTAAGTTTTGCTCCACTGACCAAATGGAAAATTTATGGTGGTGTAACGGTTAGCTGTACAGGCGCTGGAGGTAGACTTCCTGTAGACACCTCCCAGCTCAGCCGCTTACTAGCTTGGTGACCTCAGCAGAGTTGCTTGACCTTTTTTGCCCCTCAGATTCTTCAACTATGAAATAGGGTAATAGTAGAACCTCCCTTATAGGGTTCGTAATGACCCTGTAGGATAGAGTAGAACTGCCCCTGCGAGTTTCCAAGACTAACTCTTTATGGGAGGAGAAAGCTTCCTCTTCCTCCCACAGAGCAGCTGGTGGTTTCAAATCGCTGACCTTAAGAAACAGTTAGCAGGCGAATACATAATCACTAGGCCACAAAGGGTCACTGTGAGTCAGAACTGACTGATGGCAGTGAGTGTTTCTTAGAGGGTTCTGAGGATTACGTAACTGTGCAGTTCATCAACCTCACTGTGATGGACAGATGCTCCATCTGCGGAGGGGCAGTGACATTTGCACTGGGCTCACTGCTCTAGCACAGCTGTGCATCTACTAAACCATGTAATTCTCACAACTCCTGGTAGGCAAGGGCTATTATTAATTGCCATTTTTACAGGTGAGGAGACCAAGGCACAGAAAAGATTTGACTTGATTAACATCTCGGAATTAACAAAGGATGAAGTTGAGATTCCAAGCTAGTTATTTTAATGTCAAAGCCTGGATTGTTAGCCTTTAAATCAAGAGGCATGTCTTGAATGAAGCAACTTGAAGGGTTTTATTTTAAATAGTTATTCTTCAGACCTGAGCAAGCAACAGTGTGCCACGGGGGATGCATTAAAACACAGATTGCTGGTCCAAGCCCCAGTTTCTGGTTTCTGAGGCCTGAGGTGGACCTAAGAATTTGTTTTCTAACATTCTCCTGTGATGCTGATGCTACTGGGCCTGGGACCAAACTCATTCAAAACAGAAAATAGGTAATCTCGATGGTCATCGATTTTTTTAGATTATTTTACTTGACAAAATTAACTATCTGTAAAAACCATACTTAAAATGATAACTTTCAGGTAACCACAATCTCACTTTGTTACTACAGTATTGGTTCCTCAATACTTTATCAGTCGGTGTTTCAGAAACATGTAAACTATCTTTTGTTTTCTTTTTGAGGGCAAATATAAAAATGACACAAACATTACCCTAGATATAACTTAAAGGAAGTGAGCAAGGCAATACCATTATGTTCATTAATACCAGCAATTCACCTCCTCTCCCCATATCCCCCATACCAAAAACCAGACTCACCGCCATCAAGTTGATGCAAATTCATAAAGACCCTATAGCAGCGGTTCTCAACCTGTGGGTTGCGACCCCTTTGTGGGGGGGGGGTCCAACAACCCTTTCACCGGGGTCACCCAATTCATAACAGTAGCAAAATGACAGTTATGAAGTAGCAACAAAAATAATGGTATGCTTGGGGGGTCACCACCACAGGAGGCTTGGGGGGTCACCACCACAGGAGGCACTGTGTTAAAGGGCCGCGGCAGTAGGAAGGCTGAGAACCACTGCCCTATAGGAAGGCGAGAACAACCCCCGGAGAACTACCGAGATGGTAGCGCTTTCCAGAAGCAGAAAGCGCTGTCGTTCTCAGAAGCAGCAGCTGGTGGTTTCTAACTGCTGACCTTGAAGTTAGCAGCCCCACTCGTAATCACTGCGCCAGGGCTCCCCACCCACCCCACCCTCACCCCACCTCTGTCAATACATAAGTACATTTTCCCCCCTTTGAAAAGTTATTCCAGAGCTCTTAAATTTAAGAAATCATGTCTCTACTTTAGGACAGAAGTTTCATGAACAGCATTATAAAAAAGGAATTAGGATGACTTCATTCCAAAGACACAAAAGTATTGCAACAATCTGCGGTCAGGAATCTGAGCATGCATTGCCAGAGTTTCATGCAAAGTTTGATTATTAATATTTACTTGAAATAAGGAAAGATCATATTGTAAAATGGAGCTACCTTTTCTGACTTGATAGATTCTTATTAGGAATTCTGCCAGAGATGTTTACATACCCTAGTGAGTTGGGTAGAGGGTAGTAATGGCTCAGTAGTAGAATCTTCATTTTCTGTGCCAGGCTCATACACTGCCATTGAGTCGATGCCGACTTACAGCGACCATGTAGGACTGGGTAGAACTAACTGCCCCTGTGAGTTGCTGAAACTCTTAATTCTTTATAGGAGTAGAAGGCCTTATCTTTCTCCTGCAGAGCAGCGGGTGGTTTTGAACTGCTGCCCTTGGGGTTAGCAGCCAAATGCATAACCACTGCACCATCATGCCAGACAACCAGGTTTCATACCTAGCCCATGCACCTCATGTGCATGTATTACCTGTCTTTCTGTGGAGGCTTACATCCTGCTGTGATACTGGACAGATCTCAATTGACCATTCAGACTAAAGCGGAGTAGGAAGGAAAAGCTGGCAATTTACATCCAAAAATAAGTCAGTAGACTACAGCAAGTTAGGGCCACAACTAACAACAACAGCAGGAAAATGGATTATGTGACCAAAAAGTCAACATTCTATGGGGAAGAGGAAACTCCTCATCCTCTGGAGATGTGTCGAAGTCGAAATCTCTCACTCCTGAAATGCCTCAAGCTGTGACCTTCATCTGCATAAAGTAAGGGTGCAGCTTTAAAATGGGAACTTTATAGATTGCCTCATGCATTTTCAGACACTCCCATTTGGGCCTATGGGAAGGGCAGGCGAGTCGTTCCTATGGCCATCTATTGCATGTCAGCCATCAGCACCCCTGCAGGTGAACACATCTCAGCCCAGGGTGCTCACCTCGTATACTGCCAAGACCCCACTGTTTGGTAGCACTCTGCATCTGTTTGATTGTCTTTTTGCTGCTATGCTGTTTTTTTTTTTTTTTTTTTTGCAATGACACTGAGTGGCCTCCTGTATTGTTTCTTTCAGCCAGTAATGTTAAAATAGAGACTCAGAGTGATGAAGAGAATGGGCATGCCTGTGAAATGAATGGGGAAGAATGTGCGGAGGATTTACGAATGCTTGATGCCTCAGGAGAGAAAATGAATGGCTCCCACAGTGACCAAGGCAGCAAGGCTTTGTCAGGAATTGGAGGCATTCGACTTCCTAACGGAAAACTAAAATGTGATATCTGTGGGATCATTTGCATCGGTCCCAATGTGCTCATGGTTCACAAAAGAAGCCACACGGGTAAGGCTGGGCATGGTTTTTTCTTTTAGTATGTTGGAAAAGGTCACAGGGGGTGTTAAAAGAGGCAAATATTGTGTTTTAGTTTAGTGGTTTGGAGCATTTTCAAATCGACTGACGGCCTTACGGCTGTTATTATTCACAACTATTGTAGGTTGATTGACTATTATTAGCTGCTATTGCAACTGATTGACCCCAAGAAGGGAGGCATATAATTCTTATCATGCAACAACATGTACAAGGACATCTAACCATGCACCAGTTCTACCCAATAAATTAAAGCAATAAATTGTACATGCTGAATAGTTTCAACAACACTCTTGTGCTTCATGTCACTCTTAAGAAAACCGAAGAAGACAAACAGATGTTGACAGATCAAAATGTACTCCTCAGACTTTCCACTGAGAAGTCATTTAGTAAAAATATGCATTTTAATTAGATTCACACTAACAAGCCTTGGCTTTTAGAAACACTGACAAATTATGGAATAGTAGCCTAATTTAGCTTCCCAGAAAGTGTTCAGATCAACGTTCAGAATGTCTCATCCTACCACTGGTGCTATTTTACATAAAATTATTTCATTGCCACCTATTTTTATCTGAAATTGGTAAATAATTAATGCCAAAAAACCCTTATCTCATTGGGTGACTGAATGAAAACTTCAGACATAGAGTAGTATGTAATACACTGTCTAAAAATGAAGAAATGAGGTCATGAGAGTTACATTCCAACTTACACTGTGTTCTCAACTTTTGAGGTATGGGTAAGTACAGGGTAGATCCAACTGGTTCCCTTTAGGCCCGGCTCTGTGCATCCCTGGCAGGCACTTTGATTGACCTGTCAGATACTTTTCTAGTAAAACTGTTGAGTCACTACCACTAATGGTGCAAAAGTCTTAGAAATAAAATATTAATGGGGCAAACTTTACCTTTACATCTGTGGTTTCTTTTGAGTTGAACATAAACTTGGCTCTTCTTTCAATGAAAAGTTGTCCCAAAGTAAGACATTGTAGTGCATTTCCACATTTAATAAGATGAAGGGTTACTGAAATATGGTGAGCATGAAATATGTAGTCCCTGACCCACCTCTGCCTATAAGGTTGCATTGGCAGATCTTCATCAATCTAGTATCTGCCACCGAAGTCCCTAGGGCTGGGGATAAAGAAGGCATACTTTGGAGACACAAAGGATTTTGTCAGATACCTCAGGGAAATACCTGAAAATCAGAACCTAATTTAAATTTCACTTTGGGCAAAATAAATGTCTGTTTATCAAAATTAAGCAGGGATTCAGAAACTCCACTGAGAAAGAAATGCTGGGTCATCAGATAGTACATTTCTTTTTTGCAGATAAAATTTTTATATTTGAATGAGGGTAGTTTCCAAAATTAAGAAGCCCACTCATAATCTGTCTGGAAAAAATATGAAAATGAGTTTTAGATTAAAAAAAATTAACTTAGATTATTAAGTATATTTTGCTTTTCCTAACAATCTTTTGCTTTTCCTGAATCTTCCAATTATCCAGTGAAATAGACATGTCACACCCAGTCCTAACTAAAAGCTTGTGGAAGAGTAATCACGTTTTCCCCTTTTGTAATGATGTGGAAATTAAAGTGAAAATAGGGTACCCTGTGACAGACACTTCACAGAATACGCCGGGACTCATTTTTATACATTCCTGATGAAGGAATAAGCCTCACAAATGAATTACTTTCCTGCTAATTCATGTAAAGCCTGGCCGTACGGTGAAAATTCTCTTAAATAAATATTGGATAAATGAATCAAATTCTGGCATACTAAATTGCCAAAATATAATGACTGCCTGACCTGATAAAAAGAATAATTACATTTAATGAATAAGCCTGCCAGGGACAGATATGCGGAGGAGCACCTGCTTGACGCTGTCCACTCCTCTTCAACATAGTGGCGGAATGCCAAGTGCTCACCATTATGCCTAGTTCTTCCACTTTTGCAGAATAAGGAAATTCCAGAAAATTAGGTATTTTTCAGCAATTGGATCATTCCTGCCTTGGCCTTTATTTAAAATACAATTTAAAAAAACCTGAAACCTAAACACATAACCTTTATAGGGCACAGCCTTTATAGGGCATTTCCACTTGCATAAATATAGAGGCCACAGGTAAACTTAGAAGTACCTGAGCCAACCTCAGTTTGAATCAACAGCAGTACTAGCAATGGTTTCCTTCTCCTGGGTTCTTACTGGAGTGTGTTAAAGAAGGTGTGGCCTGTTCACCAGCACCCCTTCCCTGAGCTCTTGTAAGTGTAGAGCTTTTCTAGAGCAGTGGTTCTGATACTCTAAAGGGCATTTAAGTGGGGGGGGGGTGTCTTATAAAAATGCAGAGTCAGCTCAGATTCTGGGATGAGCTCAGAGAAGTATTTCTCATCAGTGTCTGAGGATGCTGGGGCTGCCCACACAGGATCTCATTGGGGTCCTGCAGTTGAGTAGTAGAGAGGTAATCATACCATTTAAAGATGGTCTATCATTTGGGAGCTTAGCTACGATATGGCCTGTTGGTTATCCTCTGGAGAAGCGAAGCCTTGCACCACAGCCTTTGTTTCTCCCCCATCAGCCTGCAGGGTGGAGCCAATGACCAGTTTCCCAGGTCCTTCGCTGGTAATCTGCCTGGATGAAGTCAGTGCCATGTCCTGCCAGGAGAACGCAGACCCTCTGCACCCTCCCTAGCGGGCGTGCAGTCCTGTGTGCCAGGACACTTGTCTTCTAGATGGGTCGTTGGCATCTCAGTTTTGTATTTTTAACTGAAGGGAAAACGTAGTGCCTCCCCTGAGATTTGGCAAGCGTAGTATCACAGAAATAAGAAAAGGGGGAAAAATAAAACCTACCATGTGATGGGGATTTTGTTGATAATGAGGATAAAAAGAAATAAACAATGCTTATTCTGTATGCTCACAGTGTGTGAGCACCGCACATAGCTCTGTCCTCATTTGCTGCTCACATTCGTGTGGCGCATGGGGCAATCACAGGAGTCTTGACTCAAGTTTTTAAATTCCGATTCAGTTTTTTTGTATTTCCCTTTTTCTCAGACATTCTCAGAAATCCTATTTAATGGAGATATATATGAAAGCCATATATTTTTTACCATATATTTAAGTTATTAAACATGACTCATATATTCTTATAGTGGACCCCTGACATCAGCTCTGTAGAGTAACTGGGATTAAAAACTAGAATTAATAATAATATTAAACTCATCACTCCAATTAAATAAAAATAAGATCTTAGCAAAGCTTTAATCCTCCTTAGCTTTAGTAAGCAAGATATTGACTCGCAGAAGTCACGCTATTAGACCTTAGCTACATGGACATGCCCCCTTGTCTGGCAATACCTCTCGGGGTAAGCTAACTTTAAGTACAGCACTTCTTTGAAACGTTAGTGGCGACTCTCCTCAGAAGTCCCTGTGTTGTACGATACATATTCATGCCAGCACAGGCAATCAGAAGCAAATAGATTTCCAGTAAACCTTGCCAGCAGGGATAAAGACACATGGCACAGCAGGATGCACAAGAGCTGTTTAGTCAAATTAGAAGACAGATTTTATTCTCTAAAAAATAGTCACTGTTCTTTCTTTCCTGCCTTTCCTGCAGAAAGCAGGCACGTGTGTGATCATTTGCCGTCAGCAAAGGCACTAGTTCCACTGTGTGGTCCCACTTCCTGATTTCCCTCTAGTCCTGCAGACCTGGGTGATCATGACACTCCAACACCTTTCCTTGTATGAAGGGATACACACACTACCTGGATATGGGTTCGCTTGCTCAAGAATCACTGTGTCACTAGGATTGCCCCATATCTTTATCTTGTCTTTTCATGATATACTCCCTAACTGCCTGTCTTTCCCACCCGCCCAAGTTTCCACCCCATCAAAATGAGAGCCCAAGACTGGAAAGAGGATCATTTCCTTTTATCCTGCCTGAGACTTCTTGCACTCTGCACACAGTGCTCCGCCTTTGTTTTCTTTTCTACTTGAAGTTAAAGGCATATCTACATACATGCAAACCAGCGAAGGACTGGCTGGAAGCCTTTCTAATGAACAATTAAATGGTATCTCTGTTGAACACTCCTCAGGGTTACATGGCAACCAGCTATTTGAACCCCCACCCCATTCAGTATCAGCCACATATGTGCCCTGTAACCCAGATCTAATTAGCTTGGCCGTTACTTCCCAACCTGCTTCCTCTCTGATCAGTTAAGTTTAATGTAAATATGGATCTGCAGGAATACCAAACTTCTTCTACTTAGTATCAGGATCTCTACTGTCAGTATGAAGTCCCTTTTCATGGCATCTCAACACCGGAAATGCTGGTCACATATCACATTTCCTTTAAATAAGGCACTTGTGTAAAAAAAAAAAAACTGGAATATTTCCTTAAACCTAACAAATGTATTACCTTTTGAAGAGAGAGTTGAAGGAAATGCCCACTGACTTAGATTCCACGAATTAGGACTACTTAATAGGACAGTAGTGTACTTCTTTTTCTTAGATTCCCATGTGCCCCTTTGTTAGATCCAGAATATAGGGACATGAGCTACCACACACACAAGAGGTTCCAACATTTTCTTAGTTACAAAATGCCACCTCTGAAATACAAAAGGTCCGCCTCTGAAAGAATTCCTTAATAATAAACTAAATTGCATTTTTTAGAATATTTGTATTTAAAATATAACTTGTCTATGGCTTTGGAGAAACAATAGCTTAAAGGTATCAGGATTTGTGAGGAAAGAAAAAGCTAGATATCTCAGTGCAACTCCGATTTTCAAGCGCTGCCACAGGGAGATTCGGGACTTTTCTTTGGAAGCTGTTGAGCTTCCTTCAAAGCATCTTAACTTCTCATTTTATTCAACCTCTCTCTCTCTCACTCTCTCTTACCCTCACACTCCCTCGCTGTCTCTTCCCTGATTTGCCTGCTTAGGGACAGACAGGTAATGGAGAAGAAATTGAAAGGGAAAATACAGGGAAAATGTAAATGAAAAGAAGTTATTATAACTGTTATAATGAAGTGCCTTTCATTTAAATATAAGAATGTAACGCTGAAATGAACTTGTGATCCTGAAATGCATTTTTAATGAGTTTCCTTTTTATTTTGCTGCTTCAGTGGCATATTTTAAAGACCCTTTGAAAAAAGCCACATTAAAAACCCCACCAAATGCCACAACACGCAAAATTGGATATTGGTTTATTCCAAAACTGCTGATCAGGAAGAGTGGCTCTTCATCACAAAATGTTGCAGTCACTTTATTTAAATGAGTTTGAATTTGCATTGTGATGTGCCATTCTGATTTAGGGGAAAAAAATTAGATTTTCAGATCAAATTGACCCAACCAGTGAAGCGTTAAGAAGCTGGCAGGTTTAGTCTGAAAGCCTCATGTTCTATCAAACCTGCAGCCGGTGGAAGTCACAGAGCACCAGTGGGAACAACTTTCTCACTGAGATCCCTCCGTGTTCCCGCGTTAGAGTTTTGTTCTCACACACCTCTCTCCTCCTCCTCCTCCTCCTCCTCCTCCTCGCAGGAGAACGCCCTTTCCAGTGTAATCAGTGCGGCGCCTCATTCACGCAGAAAGGCAATCTCCTCCGCCACATCAAGTTGCATTCTGGGGAGAAGCCCTTCAAATGCCACCTCTGCAACTATGCATGCCGCCGGAGGGATGCCCTCACGGGCCACCTGAGGACGCACTCCGGTAGGTCCCCTGGGCATCCTGGGTGCTGGGTGGCCCCACTTTGCCAGGGTGGCACCTGGGTCTAAGGACACTGTCCTCCTTGGCCAGCCTCAAAGCTTACACCCCAGTCTGAAGTCCTCCATCTGGCATTGTCTGTCATTTATATTGGAAGGTGTTTCTGGGTGGCTCAAACGGTTAGCGCATGAGGCTGCTAACCAAAAGGGTCAAGACCACTGAGAGGTACCGTGGAAGAAACACCTGGCAGTCTGCTCTCCAAAACGTCAGCCTTTGAAAGTATTGTAGCGCACAGTTCTGCTCCGACCCACACAGCCATCCAGAGTCGAAGTGGGCTCAGCAGCACCTGGTGTGACTGGTTCCACTGCTGGAGCTGCCCCTCCATCCTCACAGGCACGCTTTTCTCAAGAGGCTAGAGGAAATGGGTGAGGGTGTGGACTCCCTTTCCCCTACCTCGCACATGGACATCAGAAAACCCTACTTTAAGTAGAACATTTAAAAAGGGGGTCCTCATTTCAAGTACCTGGTTTCTGAAAAGACTTCTCCAGCTGGCCTTTTTGCGGGGTGCACTGCTAATGCTCAAAACATTTCCAAATACCTTTCTCGATGCTGATTAGTCAACCCCGTTCATTACACTTGGTACAGAGTATTTTTAATGTAGTAATTGAGGCATTTTCTTTGCAAAGATGAGAGTTGATTAGGACCCTCGGGTATCTGCCCCTTCCTAAATGAATTAACTGAGACCTGACTCCTGGTCTTTGGCCCTCAGACCAGAAACGAGTTGAAGCCCTTGTTGGGAAGGCTATTTTGGAGCTGTAGCCAGATTTGGGATGACAGCATTGTTTTCTTGAGTGAGATATCAACATAACGTATGCCCACACTATCCAGAGGTCTCAGATAGATCAAAATTTGCATAAATGCTCAGTAATTCTCTAAAGTCTCCCTACCTGTGAAGCAAATCCAACTTTAATTAAATTAAACCTTCTGCTTCCAGAGAAATCTCCTTCAATACTTCATTATTAAATATCTCCTATAATCTATAATCTCAAACTTTAGAGGAAGAATAATTCTTGGCTAGCCATCTGCTCATGTTTTTTTATGAGGTTGGCCTTTGTGATCTGACACCATAGGAGTTTTTCAACAACCCTCAGACAATAATGTTTGAGGTGGTGCCCTGTACAGAGTATTGGGAACCTGGGAGATTTCTGGGGCACATGCTCCTGCTCTTACAGAATTTACAGTCCCACTCATCGGTTCAACCCACTTCTGCTGAGCACTTGCTATGAGCAAGGCCTTAAGGGAGACACCATGCTTCAGAACCTTCCCTCTAGAGCTTGCCATCCACAGGAAAGCCTAAGAAAGAGAAGCCTTCCCCGAGGAGGGTCAGGACTGTGTGTTCCTGTAAGAGAGTTTTGCACGGCTTCTGTCCTTTTCTTTCCCAGAAAAAGATGAGTGTATTTAACCGTCAGGTTTGAGAGAGCTCTTCATCTTGTTCATCTCTTTGTCACACATTACTCAGCACTTCAGGGAACTCAATCTGTGGTGGGGAAGACAGATCTAAAGGGATGGAGGGACCATAAGGAAGGGCAACAGGTGTTAAGAGACACTTCCAGTAGGCTGAGGGGACTTGTGTATAAATGGAAAGGTACGTTTCTAAAGTTTACCTTTAAAGAAGTTCCAAATAAATATGTAAATTCCTTTGTGACCCTAGAAAGAGGTGTGGTACAAATTGGTGAGCAACCCCAGACTGTTGAGACAAGATCGAGGGGAATCATAGGGAGGTCCTGGGAGTCCTGGTTATGTCACAGATGTCCAACTAGACCATCTCCTCATTTTCCATCTTCTAGCTAGTAAACACAGAAGCAACTTCCTTGGATCCTCTTAATTGGAAAATCATGACAACTGGGGCTCTTTAAATCCTCCCCCAAAGGAATGACATATCAAGGAACTGTCTTTCCCATAAATCATGACAGCCACTAAAGTCGAACAGTGGCGTGCAAGAGCTGCTACATCCCACTACACGTGCCCAAGGCTAGGGAGCAGTTTGCTGTCAGTGGGCAAAGACAATGACAGTATGATATGGAATGTGTTTAAATGTCTACCTATGCTAATTAATGTTGTCCTACCCAATGTTAAAGGTGGATAAGGTAATTAAATGATGAACAAGACTCTCACATACTTCAAGTGTGAGGATTCTCTAGTCTGCCAAGTGCCTAACAGATGATTGTGGCAGAGGGGTGGGGAGGTGGGGGGCGGTGAAACTTCAGATTGGTAAGATCTCAATAGATGGGCATTCAATTGACTATAATACTGTGTTCAAGTTGGTAGGAAGCATAGTTCCCATGTACAAAGAAAACACAAATTCTTGTTCATTGAAAGTGGTATCATGCTGTTTTTTCCCCTTCTGTAAAACTAGCAGCATTTAGTGCTGTAACTATGATTTAATGTTTTGCTGGCTGCTTGCCTGCTTACTTCATTCACAGCATGTTGGCATCTAGCCCTAAGTATGACTAATTACTAGAGTAATTATATATAGCAGGTGCTGGGCTGTGGACAGTTTGTTTCTATAATGGATCCACTGACGAGCATGTGAGTAATCATATAGTGAGATAACCCAAGGATTGCTGACTGGTGATCCTGCCATCTTCGATGGCACCGTCACCACACTCTTGGGGTGGGGACACACACACACACACACACACACACACACACACACACCGAACTCCACTCCATGAAGTCCATTCTGGCTCCTACTGACCCCAGAGGACAAAATAGATGCTCTCAGGGTTGCTGAGGCTTAAATCTTCATGGCACACGGCTTACCTTTCTTTGCAGAGTAGCTGATGGGTTTGAACCACCAAGGTCTGGGTTAGTTGTCCAGTACACAAACCACTGCAGCATCACAGTCAGTTCTGTTGAACAGAGCTAACCTAGAAATTAGGTTGAATAGAGCTGATCAAGAAATTATGTTGTTATAATGGCCTTTGGGGAGTTCCTTGTCAGAACAATGAAATACACTTTGGGAATAAATGTTCGCTGCTTAAGGCATATTTATCTGTCATGGTTTCTTAGAGACCTGTTGTTCTGTTTCTAACATGGAATTGAAGTTTTTCTTCACCAGCTTAGACCAAGGCTGCATTTGAGCCAGTACTAGTGCTGTATCGAGCCTGGCCCCCGCATAAACATGACCCTGAACCTAAAGCTCTCCTTAAATGGGAATCTGAATGGAGCCAGCTGACACAAAATCTCCTGAAGACTCTCCCTGGTTGTTCAATATCCACATTATAATACTACATTGATTATTTCCTCTAGTTAAAATAAAGGCTGCAGCTAGGGCATTCAGAGGTCATTAGTAAGTACAGTGGGCAAGAGAAGAGGAAATCAGAGTCACATGAATTAGCAGTACCATCGAGGAACCAGCTGGGCAGTCACATTTCTAAATTCAGGCATTTTGACCAAGTCCGTAATGCTTTCAGCTCTCAAGAGTAGAGTTTTGGGCTTAGCTTTTCACTTTTTTGGTAATAAGTGTGTTGCATGCATTCCCATGACACCTAAGGCTAGCATTTAATTGGGGTTTTGAACTCAATTGTGTCTTCTGCAGTTGGTAAACCGCACAAATGTGGATATTGTGGCCGAAGCTATAAACAGCGAAGCTCTTTAGAGGAACATAAAGAGCGCTGCCACAACTACTTGCAAAGCATGGGCCTCCCAGGCACGCTGTACCCAGGTAAGCGCGGAGAGCTGGCAGGGGCCCTGGGGCTGGCTCTCTTCAGCAGCCCAGTGAAGAGGGCTGTCCGCACATGGTTTTGTAAGCACCACCAGAGGTCTGCCTTGCCGGACTACGGGGACGAAAGAGGGACATTTATGACAATTTCACGGGGCACATTTTGTGCTGTCCTATCTTCTAAGTCCTTCTCTGACCCGTCGTCAGCTCACCTCTGGAGAGCTTGGCTTTAGGACATGTGGCTCTTGGCATGTGAGGGAACTCGTAAGGCAGTAATGACGCTCCAAAGTTGTAGGACTTTTACTGTTATTCATGTTATGTGCTTAGGGTTTTTGTCTGTTTGTTTTAATTGGGGTTAATACATATACCATCCCACATTTCATTCATGTCCAGGAGAATTGTACATTTCCTACCAAAATCCATTTCCAAACATTTTTTTTCTATATGGACCTCTTGATGCCCTCACCCCTTCACCCCACCACCCCCTCCCTGCCCCACTCCCCCAAAACCGTATTCTTCTTGCTGACTCTGTAGGTTCATTGGTTCTGGTTTTCATCCCCCCGCCAAAAAAAGCATAACCACAACGTAAAGAAGATGACCTCCAATGACATAACACTCCTGAGATACTCCCTGATACGTACAAACACCAAACCATCCCAAAAGACATGAGATTTGCTAACTAGATCAGGTCCAGTATGCATCCTAAGGGGGATCTGCTAAAAAAAGTTTGTGAAAACTTAAAGCATAGGTTTTTTTGTGCTTCATAATCAGCAAAAGTCTTGTTTTAAGACATTTTTTCCTAAAGATGATCAAATTATGAGCCTCTAGGCTGTTTTTCTTCATCAGCTCAGACCAAGGGCACAGTATTCATACCTGCTTGGCATATGAGATTGAAGTTTGTTATAGCTCTGTATTTTACATATATTTTTACCCTGACAGTCAGTAGTATTGAGGCTGTCAAATGATTAAACCAAAGATTGCTTTTTTCCTCTGAGCATCAATGTTTGCTTGTATATTGTATAACAAGATCGCACTTGATTCTAATCTTAGATAATGTAAAGTGAAAGATGTACAGGAGAGTGAAGAAGGCTAGGTTTACTCAGAGGATGGCAGTATTAAAAAGTGCCTTTCTAATGCACGGAATTTATAAATAGCTCAACTGAAGCTAACCTCTTTCATCACACAATACGTTTACACTACTGCTCACAGAATCATCATTGGACCCAGGGGTAGAAGTTAAATTAATAGTTGAGAATTTATTAAGCCTCATCCACTTTTCTGACTTGATAGATTGTTCTTAAAGGAAAATTCACTGGAGCACATTTAGATTAAAGGCAGATGAGAACAAGGAGAAAAGCGTGGTCAAGATGGAGTCCTAAACATTGGTTCACATACGTCTTGGTGAGGAGAGGCAGTGCAATTCCATCAGTGGCTCTTTCACCAGCTCATTGTGAGATGGGAGCTGATGATTGTATTCTTTTGGCCTTAATCTTCTCCTCCATGAAATGATGCGCTCTCATTAATTTATCATTTCATTTCCTTCAAAGTCTAAGTATCTGTTTCTAAAATAGAAAGGTTTCAGAGATGTGTGGGAGAGAAGAAACTGACTGTA